GACGAATGACCATGGTTAGCCGTTCAACGAGGCGTTTTCAGTTTCAAAACAATAGCAAACTTGCTTATTCTAATTCACAGCTTTGTTTAATGATTTTTTTCTTTTACTCAATATATTTCGTCCTGAACTTTGATTGATCGATTTTAAGGTAACGCCCAGAAAAATTCAGTGTATATAAATATATATATATATATATATATATATATATATCACAAATCCTGGAACTTCAGACCAATCCAATAATGATTTCGAATAAACAAAAATAGTCTTCTTTTTTAGTGCTGTTTACTAGTGCTTTCTCTCCTCCAGACGAATGCCCTTTGATAGTGGATCATCTTTGGCTGTTGAATGTTCAGTATACAACTCGATGGTAGCTTTAAAACTCCAGGCTTATGAAAATTGCCCTTTGTAAACTGAAAATGCTCGTTGACTTTACGTTCTTTCATTTTTGTCTCAAACTGATTACTCAATTATGTCGTAAATAATGTCAAGTCAAACACCGCGGTAATAGTTCAGTTGATGTCGTAGCCTTGAAACTCTAGTTAGAGTAGGTATCTTGGGAATAATTTACGGTGGAAGCTTCATTATTATTTGATGACTTGAAATATGAATCGAAGGTGCAAAGAGCTAGTTATATTGTGATATGGTACCTTTTTATGTAAACATAGTTATATGGGACTGATAGCTATTAGTGTATCACAACGTCCTGATTGAAATCCTAAAAACCATGCAACTCGTAAGTGTGGGACTTTATCGAATATGGCTCCGAATGGAAGTCAGTAACTGTCTTGCTGTAGTTTTCTAATAAATTTTCCATAAAGTTGAGATGAACCCTTTTAATTAAAAAGAATTTCTCTTGTCTTTTAAATTGAAGTATGAATTTTATTAAATCCTGTCGTTGCCTATGTATTCACTTATTGTATATTCTCTATTTCTTTTCTTCATAATGTTATCATTCTGTCATACTGGTGTTCGAGTCCACCAAGAGTCTATAAATAAACATGAATAATTAATAAAGCTTTTGTAATTGTAGTAATAAAATAATGATATATCAGTGATATTCTAATGAGCAGAAATTAGAATTCCTAACGTCTTGTGACTTAGTGCAAGGTACTTCTTCAGAATAAATAAGTAATTAAATTAAATTAACGGAATTTTAAACAGTAGTTGATATAAAAAAGAGATTTGGTTACCTGATAGTTTTTGTAATACATTCTGATAAAGCATTGAGTGGGTGATCCATAAGTGATGATTCACAACCAAAACATGTTTCTTTTTTATACTTGGCATCATCCCCTTGTGTAGTGCTGTGTTTCATGCGAAGTTATCACTGGTAATATAGTTTAGAATTAGATGTAGATAGGCTAGTCACCATATGACTTGGTCTCGAATTCATTGGATTTTTCTTCTATCTTGGTGTCGCCAACACGTAAGTTGAAATAAATCAACCAAAGTTTCGCAGTATATAGCTTTTTCCCAAATAGAAATACCGCATGTAAATATCATTTTCAAAGTACCCTATATCGATTGTTCAGTATACAACTCACACACACATTTGTGTGTGTGGTGAGGAAATCACAAAACTATAAACAAAAATCATACGTGATGTTTATTTTTACAAGTTATCATCTATTTAAACAGTATTTTAGATCATACAATTAAACATCCTTGACCTCTTCAATTAAATCTTGTTGTGTGAAGCCATTGTTTCTAGATGTGAATAATCTTTCCAATTTGAATCTGAAAAACGTATGTCTGCTCAAACAGACAAATCAGCACCTTAACTTGGTTGGATAGTTGATTATTACCTTTTCAAATTAATACAACTAAGTTTCCTGTTATTCTAAATAGCTTTGCCGTTAGAAGCGCTTAATTGTCTTCAAAAACGCCATGTATTAGTATTGTTGATCCATTGATTGTATTCTAAAATATATGAATTACTACTCTAAGCCTTTTCATTTCCCTTATTTAGTTGTAATTTGTTGGTATGATTTGATTCAGTTGATGATTCACAAATTATATTGTAGTACTTTTCTAAACATTCATAGTTCCAAATAAAATCGTTTTACCTCCATGAATAAATAGCCTTGGTAGTAATCGACATTTCGGAATGAGATTTTTTATACATGTAGATATGATAAGTATGCATATTCTTAGTGAGATTATTTCAGTATTTTGTTTCTTATAGAGCAATCGCAGCCAGTTTAAGTCTTGACGGTGCTGAAATTCCTGTAACAAGTGCGGATGCAGCATATATGAAAGCTTTAGAAGAATCTCGTATTGAACAAGAACTTGAAGAAAAACGTCGCCGAGCTGAGGATGAAGAATTAGCACGTATACTTGAATTGTCAACCAAAGAAAAATAACTAATTATCTTGTTCTGTTTTACAAAATTTGATAAATCATATTTTTGTTCGTATACGGTATATCCCTTTCGAAAACACACGCAAATACATACTACTGTGTCAAACTATAACAATAATAATGGAAGTCCAACATTGCTTCATCATATCACATGTGATAGAAAAACAAAATTAACCAAAAATGTATTGTATGCTACCTATTCGATCCCTGTATAAAACTTATCCGACTTGATAGTCAAACAAATCGCTTTCATTCATCTTCCCACTTCATACAAAAATGTCTGCATAGTTGATAGTCATTTAGTAATGATTTTTAACCTTTAATATATTCGTATGGAAATTATATAACTAATAAGAATATAATGTATGCCTTCCTGCTTTGGAACTGCTACTAATGAAGATATAACAACACTAAATTATATTTTAAATCTGTGCATTAATGTTATTATTTATAGCCTTGCTTAATACGCTTATTTTATTACCATTAGTTAATGCTGATGTAAAACGATTCTTGTAATGTCGTCTTTATCGCCTTCTGTTTAGCAAATATAATATCTGTTCTTAATGAAAGTCTACTGTATAAATACATCTTCACTATATTATCTGAATGCTCTGTGTAGTAAGCGTAATTTCCCCCCCCCCATAGCCTTAACTCTCCCAACAATAATAGTTAAAACAAATAAATGTTTCTCAGTTTTATTTTTTACGCTTAACCTGATCCAATTAATTTAATTGATAATGATAATAATCATTCTAGTCAGTAATATATGAATATTCTTATCCGTCTTTTTGTGCATTATTATTTTATCCTATCAGTCATGTAACTGCTTTTTGCTGTTTATTTTAATTTCTCGTCATTATTTGGATTCATTTTTTAGTAATATCCATGTGATTCGATAATTAATCATTCTTATGAAAACTATTATTGGACATCGTATTCGTCTGTGTATGGTGTTTGCTATTATTCTTATTCTATGAAAGGTTTAACATTGCTTATGTAACATGTTCAATCGATTGCTATAATATGACTAATCGATGTTTTATGTTTATTCGTCTAGTTGGGTTAATGTGGTGTTACACAGGATTATTAGCTTAGCTGTTGTCTTTGAAACAAAATGATTCTGCAACTTCCAACTGAAAGTTTCAGACCTCTGGTTATTGTGATCGTAGAAAACTTTCTCAGTCACCCAATGTCAACAGTCCATCAGTGGTTTTATCATGAAGTCATTGAATTGTGAAATCACCATACTACCTTCTATACACAGTAAGAATTAATTCAACTATCTTACTTCTGTTAAATTAATAATCCTATGGTTAACCTTGCTTACCTCAACGCTCTACTTTCATGCTAACATCGCTCCTGAAACGACAAGATAAATCAATAGTTTGTCAATTCAGAGTATTTATTTTTTGAGTTATCCTCTTGTTTCTAAGCCTAAGGCAAGTATTTGTCCTAAATATTTACCCTAGAAAACTGGTCGCTTGCGATAGACAGTCAAACTAAACGAAGTTCATTAATGAAACTTATTAAACATCCTACAACTTGCTTATCCAGAACCATGTCTACATTGAAAACCTGAAATGTTGCTTATCAATAAAAGTAGTAAGATTTCAAGCCCCATTCTCTTTACAATACACATCTTTCATCAACGCACTAGGTCTCAACTGAATACCTAGATTAGTTCGATATGTGTAAAAGTAAGTGAGTTTCCTGTAAGTGCTCCCTCAAAATAGCAAGGAGGATGTATGTGATTATTTGTTCGGTATCTTAAGATGATTAAACAGACTTCGTGATCAAATTTATCTAGCTGTTATCAGTCAAAGTATTCCTATCAATTATATATATATATATATATATATATATATATATATATATATATATATATCAAAAGCTAAGAATTAGCTAAAATCGCATCATATTTAATAAGAACTTAAAGTTAAAGGATTACTATATGGATAAATCCCTGTGTTTATCCAAATTTAATGAAAGATCTACTACTTTTCCCCTCTCCCCAAACGAAAATCTCATACTAAACGTTCCAGAAAATTTATTGTTGTAGATTGGTGGAAAAAAGCAGAGGATCTAATTCAAATCATTTGCATAAATACTTTTTCATGGAATTATAAGTGTCGACTCAACAATCAATGATTCACATTTTAAGGACTTCTAATTCTTCAACTAATACCTAAAAATAACGATAATAACTGAGCGTTTGTTTTTCTTCTGTGGTGTTAATCAAATAACTAGAAAAGTGATTTCTAGACTTTTTTCAAAATCACCCAGTAGTAAAATGTAAAGCTTCTCAACTTTAAATCGACTAGTCTGTATCTAGGTTTAATATGATCCATTTAAACTAAAAATACGACAATATAGAAACATAGAGAGGTTCATCAAAATGGTGTTACCAAAAGTCATACGTTTTGAAAAGAATTTATTTCTAAAACCCAAAACATCCAACCCAACTGACAAAACCAGGAAATAATTAAAGTACTAGCTGGTCTGGAAATAAAATTATAAAAAATAAGTTGTTTCATAAAGTTGTAAACAAAGGGAAAGTTAACAGATGCTCAGAAGGAAATATATTTACTGAATGATAAATACGTAATGGTTGATTTAATAAAAATTCATATTAGATATCACTGGCGGGTAGTATCCTGCCTTTCAAGATCGTTATGTTTTTGATCAATTTGAGTACACCAGTCTGGAACTAAACCATTTTCCAAGAAACTAGACCGACTCAGTGAACGTCCTGGTAGACATTCGAGCGCACCAAAAATTGCTCCTGTAGAGAGGAAATGAGGTACATCAACTTGAATTTATTCCTTATTAACATGATTTAATGAGTGCTGATAAAAATACATTAATGAGAAATAATGTGGAGTCATAAACTGATATTTATGAACAAATATTCATATTATTTCATCTACAATTACGGCATGGGCAGGTACACTAGTTTTTAAAAAAATCAAGTCCTGATAATTCCAGTTTAGTTTATCGCAACACACATCCTTTAGAAATGAAATTATCACTTCTTATATATTTTAACCTCGTGAACATTTTTTGTTCCTAGTCTACAACTCATTCCATAAAATACGAGCCCGAGTTAAATAACGTCCATAGAATGAAAAATGATAGTTTGACAAATAAGTTGGCTGTGAGAAACAGCTGAGCAGTAATTGTATGAACTGAAAAATAAAGAAGTCAAAATTACGACAAATAATATAATATGAAGGCTGATTAGCAACAAAATTTAAAAACCTACCACCAAGCCATCCTATGTAATTTGCTTCACCAGGAGGATTGTGAAACTTAAAAGATCCCTTTAAAGCTTGTAACTTTGAGAACTCAGGAAGTTCGACAAGTGAATTGAGTTCCTCCATTAGACGAGACACGAAGCCGGGTAGCATGGTTGTGCCACCAATAAGTACAATATTTTCTGCCAACTTCCTGTTATATGGAAAAGATCACTGTAAAACACTGTATCAAGTGGAAATGGCTATAGAAAATAAAGTTGAACACCAAGAAGCATATATTTATTCAGTCACTGTTGCCCATAGCTTTTAACTAGTGAGGTATAACACCAACATTCAAATCCACTTTCCTAAGAGCTTATAAAGTTTATTACAATGCGATATTGGTCAGCAAAAACTGATGAATTGTCTGAAAAAACCAGAAAAATGCGTCTTAGAAGTGAACAATAACCAGGATACTTAATCTAAAGCAAACAAAAAACTTTAATACTCAGCTTTGAATCACGCATTCAGTGTGGTCTAGTGCCACCACCAGTGTTTGAACCGAACTAGGTGATTTAAGGTTTGACCCTACGGCCAACTAGATGAAGGGTGATTGTCACAGAAAAAAGTCACCGCCACCTAGAGCCTGCTAGTCTTTGTTGCATTATTGAGGTACTAATACCCTGAAAAGTAGTATAATGGACCCTCTGAAACTAATATGTAATAATTTCTGGAATTAAGAAAGATCCCTCTATAGATTTAGTCCGAATTGTAAGAAGTTAACAAAGTTAGTTAGAGACACTACCAACTGATATTACAACAAGGCAGTTGATTAACTAATGAGTTGTCATATTATCTTTGTTTCATAAAATCAGACATCATTTATTAGGTTAATTTACTTGGTGTTCAAGAGACAATAAAAGTAGCCTGGTTGGGATATATAGACTACAGTGTAAGTGCATAATGTTCGTAACCAAAGTTCTGGAAAAGTTGGCTTTGTAAATCTCTACTGAAACTGTAAATCCTAAGTCATTTTTGATCGAATATTTAAGAGTTCATCAATAACTGTGTCCTGTCATCATGAGACACAACACAGTGGTCATCAATTTGTTTGCCAGATGCAGGCTTGTGAACTTAGGTTAGTGATACTACCCAGTTTATTAAACCGAAATATATGGAACAGGGTTCGAACCCTTACTAACTGATCCACCGCCCTATTGGCGCAGTTGCGAGGTCAAACCCCTCTATGTCTCTTTTATGATAGAGAAGATTCCAATATCTAATTTTTCTAGTATTTAGTCACCAGCTAAGCAAACAAGCGTGTGAATAATTAGTGATTATATATATACAAAGTAAATGATTTGGGACCTGACTATCTCAAAGACAGTTTTCTTTAAGAATCAATATATTACTGAGGCTTGCATGCACTCATTGAGTGTGCAAACTACCTGCACAGTCATACACCAAAAATTCTAACTGGAAGTGAAGACGAAACCTACAAAGATACCACCAGTATTCCACTCTTATTACAAAAAGCATCTTCAGCCTAGTCCACAGGTTAGCTTGATTTTACGTACAAAATGCTCAAAAGTTAATACCAAATGACCAGGTTATTGCATGACGAGAAATTAGAAGATTCACGTGCAGAGTTAATGAGATTAAATACCTTCTAATATCAATAGGTGCCAACAAAATTGATCTTAAAATTAGTGTTGTAATTGTGATTTGGTCATTGTCTCCAGCAAACAAACATTCGACTGCCAACTCTCGGATATCTGATGCAACTTGAATTGGCCTTTCGTTCCCTAACTTGTCTAGGGGGAAAATAAATGTTTCCTGATACAAGTTGGGCTTTGTGACCGATGATTCAGCAGAGTCCTTCCAAGCCTTCCACTGGACTGCCCTATTGTGTGGACTAATAAAACATGTACGAACTAGGAGTAAGCAAATATGAGTGACACTCCACCTTTTATATCTTCAACGATATGTTCCGAAATAAAACAATCTGGACAGGGGGTTAACTGCGACTCCCCGTTGATAACATCCACCAACTTGGCATTTTCATTTAAGTAACCCCTGATGTTTCTGAAAGTTAAGGGACATTACTATATATTACACGAAACATACTCATGAATTCTTTTGCTACCAAGCTGGGCTGACTGCCAAGCGTTCAGTAGAGTGTAACCTTCATAAACCTATAAACACTAGGATGAGGGCGAATATCCCTTACAGGCAGAACTTGAGCATCCATATAACCACAGTCTAATACAACAGCTGACGAAATCCCAAGAGTAAATAGTGCCATCAAGTGGGAAGTTGCAAAAAGTACAGAAGGTGCCTATATCAAACCAAAAAGATATCTGCATTTAGTATTTTACTTCAAAATGATTGAACAAAACGTCGGCCAAAACTTCACGGAATGACGAAGGACATAGGACACTTTCAACTACAACAACTCGTCTGTCCTTCGGGTTTACCAACAAATGTCTACGAAGTGTGAAATAAATTTTGATGATCATACCGATAGTATATATTGTAAAGAAAAGTTGTCAAGAACTCTCGTCTTTTGTCCTTTCCATCACACGAGGATATACTTCTTTTTTCACCTGTGGGCTGGAAATATTAATGATTTTTACAAGTTCGCCAAACCAAAGTGATCTCTGTTGGCATAATAAACCTTGGTCCAGTTTCTCCAGCGAAACCACACCTATCAATCTTGTTAATTACATAAAAAAATGCATACTTGGTATAAACTGAGCCTATGTCAAAAACAACTGCTGTCTTCTCACCGAGCATAAGGGACTCGAGTACGGGCATTTTGCCAGTGACATGTAGCGTACTCAGCTAATTGTTAGCTTTTTCAATACTCAATAATCTGGTAACTTCAAACTCATGGGGATGATTGAATAGCTGTTAACTACTTGAAGTTCACACCTAGACTTAAAGACGCATCTCTGAGAAAATCGTTGGCTCTGATTTTTCATGAACATGAAAAGTTGAAATATCGGTGAATAATCGGTGATCTCGGAAGAACACTTGTACTAATCTCCTTCACTTACATTGAAACTGAAGTAAATGTCAATTACTGAGGTCTTACATAAATGATTGATTTGTTGCCCTATTTTTGCATTGTATAGAGTAGCACTTCGGGATCCATTTAGAATAGGTTCATTCATGTTCTCTGCATGTCCCGCACAAAATAATGTACGCCCACAGACGGGCATTTATGTGACCTAAAGGTGAGAGTTTATTCTAAACTCATGAATTATTCGGTGACTACATGAAGATGCCAATGTGCAGTTCGGCAAATCAGAATACTCTCGGTTGAAAACCCGAAAATCAGTTACTTTTAACCGCGGTCACACTATCCCCTTCAAAATCGGCTTCATCGAGAATAATCTTTTCGAAATTACTAGTTACATGTTAGTAAAAGTCTAAACTAGCTCATGAGGGTTTCCTCACGGAATTTCACGGGTGCATCTCTTTTTACGATCAGACAATTATCTGTGGTATTTGAGCCGGCACTAAGCTGGGCTTTGTTTTATAGTCCAGACAAAAATAAGTTCTTAAAGTTCATCTTTCTCTCTTGCATTCACTCTCATATGGTTGTTCTAAAATCACTTTATGTAAACATGATGAGCATAATCCTGAGTTCCATAACACAGAAAAAGACAGGCGAAATTAAATACTTCTTTGGGGACTTCTCAAGTCTGGTCATAGTTATCTAGACAAACAGCTTTGGCTACTTTCACAATCTAAAGGCTCGTACAGTTCTTTGAAGAAATCAACTCTAATAAGAGACGGAAAACAATTATTTGTCATGACTTACCCTATTATTATAACTCCGCCTGGAGTCCCTCCGGGGGATACTGCCTGTCCCAAACCCGGATAGAGGAGGAGGGTTGGGCATGAGGTTAGCGTCCCCGTCCCGTAGAAAACTAACTCGCTAAAAAACGCTAACCAGAAAAAATTATTCAAACCTTTTAAACTCTGCCCTGGGAGTCAGAAGATCTTCACTTAGAAGAATTATGACGCCTCATGATGAAAGCCGAATTCCTTCGGAAGTTACGAGGCCGATGCCCCTTCTGACAACCAGAGCGACCATTTATTTAGGTACATGGAATGTTCGTACAATGTGGGACACCGGAAGAGCCTTCCAGATTGCTGCAGAAATGAGAAGATACAACCTAGAGGTACTTGGGATCAGTGAAACACATTGGACACAAGTTGGACAACAACGACTAACTACAGGAGAGCTCCTGTTATACTCCGGCCATGAAGAAGAAAATGCACCACATACACAAAGAGTCGCATTGATGTTGTCCAAACAAGCACAAAATGCGCTTATAGGATGGGAATCTCATGGACCAAGGCTCATCAAAGCCTCGTTTAAAACAAAGAAAGAGGGCATTTCAATGAACATCATCCAATGCTATGCGCCTACCAACGACTACAATGAAGACGCTAAAGATCAATTCTACAATAGGCTGCAGTCGATCGTCGAGAACCGACAAACGTTAATATGTGGAAGATTTAGCAACGACGGCGGAAAAGGCTGCAAGAGAAGGAAACATGAGACAATTGTATGACACGACAAAGAAACTCTCTGGAAATCGCCGCAAACCAGAACGACCAGTGAAAAGCAAGGAAGGCAAGGTAATCACCAACATTGAAGAGCAACAAAACAGGTGGGTAGAACACTTCAAAGAACTGTTGAATCGACCAGCCCCACTGAACCAACCGAACATCGAAGCAGCACCCACGGACCTCCCAATCAATGTTGGCCCACCAACAATTGAAGAAATCAGCATGGCCATCAGACAAATCAAGAGTGGCAAAGTAGCAGGACCGGACAACATCCCAGCAGAGGCACTAAAAGCAGACGTAGCGGCAACTGCACGGATACTCCACATTCTCTTCAATAAGATTTGGGATGAGGAACAAGTACCAACAGACTGGAAAGAAGGACTACTGATAAAAATACCGAAGAAAGGCGATCTCAGCAAGTTTGATAACTACAGGGGCATCACTCTTCTCTCAATACCGGGAAAAGTCTTCAACAGAGTATTGTTAAACAGGATGAAGGACTGCGTAGACGCCCAACTTCGTGACCAACAGGCAGGATTCCGTAAGGATAGATCGTGTACAGACCAAATCGCAACTCTACGGATAATTGTGGAACAATCAATTGAATGGAATTCATCACTCTACATCAACTTCATTGACTACGAAAAGGCATTTGATAGCGTGGACAGGACAACACTATGGAAACTTCTTCGACACTACGGCGTGCCTCAGAAGATAGTCAATATCATACAGAATTCATATGATGGATTACACTGCAAAATCGAGCATGGAGGACAATTGACAAAGTCGTTCGAAGTGAAGACCGGTGTTAGGCAAGGTTGCTTACTCTCACCCTTTCTCTTTCTCCTGGTGATCGACTGGATCATGAAAACGTCAACGTCCGAAGGAAAGCGCGGGATACAATGGACATCTAAGATGCAGTTGGATGATCTAGACTTCGCAGACGATCTGGCCCTTCTATCCCAAACGCAACAACAGATGCAGGAGAAGACAAACAGTGTGGCAGCAGCCTCAGCAGCAATAGGTCTCAATATACACAAAGGGAAAAGCAGGATTCTCCGATACAACACAGAATGCACCAATTCAATCAAAATTGACGGAGAAGATTTGGAAGATGTAAAAACCTTTACGTATTTGAGTAGCACCATTGATGAATATGGTGGATCTGATGCGGATGTGAAAGCGCGGATCGGTAAAGCAAGAGCAGCATATTTACAATTGAAGAACATCTGGAACTCAACGCAATTGTCAACCAACATCAAGGTCAGGAATTTCAATACAAATGTCACCACAGTTCTACTGTATGGTGCAGAAACCTGGAGAACTACGAAAGCCATCATCCAGAAAATACAGGTGTTTATTAACAATTGTCTACGCAAAATACTTCAGATCCATTGGCCGGACACTATTAGCAACAACGTACTGTGGGAGAAAACAAACCAGATCCCAGTGGAGGAAAAAATCAGGAAGAAGCGCTGGAAGTGGATAGGACACACATTGAGGAAAGCACCCAACTGTGTCACAAGACAAGCCCTCACATGGAATCCTGAAGGTCAAAGGAAAAGAGGAAGACCAAAGAACACATTACGCTGGGAAATGGAGATAGACATGAGAAAAATGAACGAGAATTGGATGGAACTAGAAAAGAAGGCCCAGGACAGAGTGGGTTGGAGAATGCTGGTCAGCGGCCTATGCTCCATTGGGAGTAACAGGCGTAAGTAATTAAGTAAGTAAGTATACACTACCAAGAACTGGAACCATTGTATTACTTGGGAGCATTCAATATAACTTCATACTGTTCCACGAAAAATAATATTATTCACAGGCAAATGAATTCACTAATTTTTATCAGCACAAAGAAGTTACTAGTGCCTCTATATGCACCTCTGCTCCCTCCGATACAAAGCACACAATCTCCAAACAGAAACTATGGCTAATTACCAAACATAGCCGACTAAGCTCAACACTCTTCAACCACGATATGCGCAAGCCTAAATCGAGAGAAAAGGACTAACTAAAATGGGAGAATACGCGACGAAAATCCGGTTCCTATACAGGTGAAAAAAAGCCAAGGTCTCCAGTACCTCAGCTTCATTAAAGCGTTGGTCTTACAGTACTACATTGCACAGAGCCAGATCGACCATATTTGCATCACTAAAAATTTCGAAGGACAATGAAGAACATGAGAAACAGGATAGGAGCCGATATAGCCTCAGATCACCACCTGGTGATTGACGAGATGAGACTGGAGCTTATAAAGCAATGAACAACTTGATAAATAGCATTATAAAGATTCACTGCAGCCTACCTTCGACATACTGACAAACTCTGAGAATTTAGGATAGCTCTTAACAACAGTTTATAAGTCTTAAAATGTCTACTCAGAGGAGAGCAAACTATTATAGAGTGTAGGTGGATGATCAGTAGGCTTCAACATACACAAGGGAAAAACCAAAATCTTCAAATACAACAAGGAGAGTGTCCACCCAAACACACTTACCGTAGAATTTCTGGAAGAGAAGGAATCTTTCACGTACATGGACAGCATAATCGATGTACAAGGAGGATCTGATGCAGATGTCAAGTCAAGGATTGGGAAAGCAACAACAGCATTCCTGCAGTCGAAGAATTTATGGAACCTAAAACAACTGCCGACCAGCATCAGTCAGAATCTTCAATACGAACGTCAAGAAAGTTCTACTGTACGGAGCTCAAAAATGGAAAACCACTACAGCCATCACCAAAAAGTATGAGTATGTATAAACAATCGTCTACGCAAGATTCTCAATGTTTGTTGACCGGTGTATGTAAGCAAGTAAATGACACTGCCGTTTAGTCCTACTTGAATCACCGCCAGTTAGGTATTAGAAGTTCAGAAATCGACATCTGAATAATCTTCATTCTTTTCAATGAATACTGCTAGCCACCATGATGTATGTGAATGTACTTTGTCGCAAACTTTCCATAAATGCGCCTGATTAGGTTATGTGATCACCAGGCATAATGATGTGTAAAAACAAATACAACAGATTACTTGTTGAAATATTTCGATGACACGAACAGATAACCAGTCGCTCGAGCAGGCCATATTTATCGATCATCTGAATTTTCTTTGAATAAACTTGTTGAAATACCTTTGAGCTGAGAATTCAATATTGTAGTAAGCATATCATACTGAATAAAGCCAATAATATCAATAAATGTGAATAGCGTAAGGGTACCTAGGTTTT